AGTCATCTTTATCAGTTTCTTTTTCTTGGACTGATTGATTTTCAAGATTTACTAAACTTTTCGTTTCATCCGTTTTCCATAGTTAAAGAACCAGCTTTTAAAAAGTTTGCAGGGTGGATTCCTGGATATAAACCGCCAACAAGAAAAACTTTGTCAGGTTCATTACTTCAGGAATGTTATGTCAAAAGTGAGCAAATTATTAGATCACAAGTTGTTAAAGAAGTAGAAAATATCTGTATTACTACTGACCTCTGGACATCTGGAGAGTTACTTCGCATTAACAGGACAATATTTAACCGAAAATTTAGTATTCAAAACTTTTTTATTAGGCTGCTGCCATTTTTCTGGAAACCATAATCCAGAAAACAGCGATTACTGAAATTATTAATCAGTGGCGTCTAAAACGAAAAGTAAATTTTGCAGTAACTGATAATTCCTCAAATATGGTCAAAGTTATTAAATATGTTTTGTTTTATGATGATTGTGATTTATGATGATGATTAAATTTATTGGTGGGGGACGCACTTAAATGCTGTCGTGTACAAATAGATAAAATAAAAAGTCCTTTTTTCGACAATTCTGCAAAAAAACACATTTCAAAAAAGTACCTTATCTTCAGAAAGGCTTTTAAAGTATTAATTACAACAGAACACAGTTCCCAAACGGCCAATCCAAGACGTGGAAACTAGGTAGAACTTCACCTATTACATGTTAAAAAGAATGACCGAGTTAGAAGAGGCAACCCGTTCCACATTGGTATTAAATAATACAGACTTAGACTTAAACCTAATCTAAATAAAGAACACTGGATTATTTGTTCTCAACTTTCCCAAATTTTACGGCCGTTTAAAGAAATAACAAGTACAATGAGTGACCAAAAATACTTGAATGCTAGTTCAGTGATTGTTATGGTACGCTGCCTGCAAGAATCTTGCAATAAAATTTTAGCAAACGGCATACTTACATCCATAGTATCCGACATAGTACAATTACTAATATCGGGTTTAGCAAAAAGATTTAGAGGGATAGAACAGAGTGGCACATTGTCATTATGTACATTTATGGATTCACGATTTAAAGTGCAGAACAAAACAAAAAGTTAAGAAGCTGGTTACTTCTATAATTAACGAACAAGAAGATTGTACTATTGAAAATCAACCAGTACAAGAAAAAGAAACCAATAAATATGACTTAAGTCCATGGTGTATTTTTGATCAATTAATTGGAGATGACTCATCTACACGTACACCTGCATCGAGAGTCCATTACAAGAAAAACTTATGTTTTTATGTCAATTTAGACTATTCGCGATTTAATAATAACGTGTAATGTAAATGTAAGTCCGATTTACTATTTGTATTGTTTAGTTTATTTTTCAAGTTATAATAAATATATCATTAGGTAGTTTCTTTCACTTCAAAAGATATACACATAAACGATAATAGCCGTTATGTTTGTTTATGTAGGCACTCTCTTACTTGAAACTACTTTTAAACAATCATAGTTACTTGTTTATGAAAATTAAAATTTTTAATGCTTTTAAATGCTTTTTAGCATTTAAAAATGCTTAAATGCTTTTTAGCATTTAAAAAAATTTAAATTTTTTTGGAATCCTGAGAAAACTAACAAATATTTTTGAAAAATTTAAATGCAGAATGAAAGATTACATTATTACCGAGGGCCGAAAGTCCCTTAGAATAAACAAAAAGTTTTTTTAATGAGATATTTAAAATTAAAAATCACACTAAATTTTGTTTTTTTTTTTCATCCCTATAACTTATTAAAATAAACATTATAGAAGTTTTCAGGGACTTTCGGCTCTCGGTAATAATGTATTGTTTCATTCTGCGTTTAAATTTTTCAAAAATATTTATTAGTTTTCTCAGGATTCGAAAAAAATGAATGCTTTTAAGAAACATTGGCCCGAAATTTTGCTCCTACGCTCTTAACGATAAACTAGCACGACCCACCTCTACTTCTCGTTACTCGATCTTTTGACCAAACGACTATCTAGACTAGACGTTGCCAAAGAATTAGTGTATGAATATTTTTTAATGTGGAGTTATTGTATGCATGTTTAATTGTTTATTATTTCATATTGGGAAATTATTTTGATGTTTAGATTTTTAGTTCGGAAATCGTACTTAAAATACGAAACATTAATAAATTTTATTTATATAAAACGATTTCCGAAATGGAAATCAAAATGTTATATTACAATTATTGTAAAGAAAACTTGTGACATATTCCCAATAAAAAAACAGTAACCTGCCATTTAAATCAATTTCGCCCAAATTTGATTATCTTGAGCATTTTATCTTCTTGATAGAACATTGTTCAAATGCAAAAAAGACAACAGGTCAAATAAAACCGATAAGTTTGGCAACGTTGAACTTCCCCTTTTTTATTATTTCTAGGCATGAAGGTTCGGTGATATAAAGGGCGTACCTAATATACCTCTCTTTTTAAACAGCTGTTTCTCACTCCATCTCACGTAAGGTCCATACCGACCATAAAATTTTTCCTACACTGTATATATATATATATATATATATATATATATATATATATATATATATATAGTCTATATATCATCTAATGATATAGTCTATAATGATATTTAGATGATTAGATATAGTCTGATTTTTATACTCACATTAAAATGATCCTCACATACGTGGGCTTTAGTTTTCTGTAAAATATCTTTCTCATTTTTGCTACATGCATTCAACCCAATTCAATCATTTTAAATGACGGTTTTTATCTTCAGGCACCGGAATAAATATCTTTCCGGGCGTTTTATAAGTTGTATTGGAACACATGGGAACCATACAATATTTGTAATATTGATTTTGTGTTGCTTCCATTATTATTATTGATATTATTAAAGCACACCTAATAAAAACAAAATATCCACAAATGCACAACAAAATCTAAACTTCAAAACAATGTTTTTACAGTTGACAGTTTGTGGCAACAGTGATGCCAGTTCGTTGTTCTCTTGTCTTGGAACTAGCAGCGTGACGTCATATCGTCCTTCGTGTTGTTAGAACTTTAAATGTTCATTGTAAATTAAATATTGCGATTTGAGGGTTGATATTTGGTATGCGGTGTTTCTATATGTAGACAAATATAAATAAAATATATAAATAAATAAAAAAAAAATTGTCAAGTTCCCTATTGTTGGAGATTGTTTATAGTAGACAGTACCAGAAGGTATATGTTGTTGATAACTGTACTCGTAGTAATGGGCATACCGTGCTTGGGCTTCCTCCTTACTATTGTAAATTGAACCCAATAGAGTTAATATGGACTCTTGAAGCAAATAGAAGAAGAAAAAACGTGACTCCTTAGTTTTTTGTCTACTGCTCTCCAGTTAATTAGAAGAGAAGTCACAAAGATCACAGCAACCAACTACAAAAATGTAATCAAAGATATAATCGCAGTGGAAAATGACTACCTATATTAAATATTTACCAGCAATAACCAAATTAACTATAAATATAGAAGATACAACTGATACTAGTGATAACAGTGATTCTGAGTAGATTAGTAAGTTCTTATTTCCAACTAGGTGTTAGTTGAAACCTTTATTTTTATTGTAATTGTAGATATTCTCGTTTTGCTTATATATCTTTGAAAATAGAGTACAAATATACTTCATGATAGAACAAAAACGTACAACATATCGTTAGGTTAAAATGACAGGGTTCAAACTAACAAAATCGCATATTTGGAGTTATTAGTGTGAAAAGGTTCCAACTGATCTTCCCTATCTTTTGATCTAACAACAGCGCTGGCTAACAACGCAATTCTGACTCATTACAATGCCAAGGTTCCATCCGTGAACATAAATAAAACAAAACTAGAATGACATTCTACAAATCGACAAATCGAGGCGACACATGAAACCTTGTCACTCAACCAATAATTAAGATTTGTAGTTGTGTTATTAAAACGTTTGTAAACTAAAATACTTTTACATAAAAAAATGGTTAAATGTATGTGATAATTACTTTTATTAACAATTTTTTACAGGTATGATTGTTTAAAATAAGTTCTGTTTAGCGAGTCTATTAGTAATATCACTCCCTAGATATATCACAGAAGTTAACAACACCAATATTTTTTATTTAAACTTAATAGAAAATGAAACTTTTTCTTAAATAAAATTAAATAAAAATAAATACTTTTATTTAATTTAAAATTAGATATCTACGCTACTGCTCAATAAAGCAGTGACCAGTCTAACATTGTTGCCGTTTTCTAGGATTTTGATCGCTCTGATTCCTATAAATTTTCTCACGAAATTACGTGTCGACTATAGTACTGTGAAGTTTCACAGTACTACCCACAGAGTATCAAATCAACAGTAATAAAATTATTATATAATTAACCTTGTTTTACAAATGCCTTTTATACGCCTTCTTACCCACCAAAATAAATACAAATATATTGAACTTGTAACACTCGTAATATTTAGGATCTTTTCAGTCATCTTAATATTTCAGCCACTCTTAATCACACATTTTTGTCTCTTATCTTCTTCATATTGTTTTAGTCCACATTCCATAATAAATTGAAATTAACACTAAACAAATAAAAACAATAAGAAAACTCTACTAATTAATATTCTAAAGTGTTCATACAACGTGATTTCGTGAACAACAATTATAGAAACTCACTCTACTCACTGCACAGCGTACACGCAGCACAAATTAGCGTGTAAAATACCAAAAATACAGTAGAATAGCGCACGCTAAATAATCACGTCACTGACTTGGTGACGTTTGGTTCGCGTGTATCCAAATTTTCGGTTTGCGTACAAGTTAGCGCGTTACCCAGACACAGCGTTTTATTTTTATATTCGTTTGTGTATAAGCACCTATATAAAAAATATTTGTTAAACTGTTGTGTCTTTGCTGTTTTTAATACGTAGTCCTTTTAAATACCTTTAAATGCATTTTACTTCCCCAATTGTTTGTTTATTTTTATTATAGGGAAGATTGGCATGGTCTTGATGGTATGGTCACACAAAAGAACCCAGATGAGAATGTGAACCATCTTCCATCAGCAACTACTTGTATAGTTGATGGCGTTAATGGTGGAGATCACTCGAACCCAAACAAAAGGTTAGAATTTAATACATTGGCAGATATTATATTTATATTTTTTTAAATACATTTTGAGATTAGAACAGACATAGGCTCAGAATGTATTAAATTAAATTAATTTAATCAATTTAATTTAATCCTTTAAAATTTAAACAATCATTTAAAAAATGGAAAATTGTGTACTTAGTTTTTTAGTGTTAAACATATTACTAATACATATTATGCATTATGATTTTTAAAATCTTAAAAAATAATAAAACTAGATTGGGCTATATTGAAAATACTCGCTTTTTAACAAATTAAACTATGAATCTCATAGTTAGCGTAATGATAAAGATTATTTGACATTTTCATTATTTATTAACATAATGTATCCATGTCCAACCTTCTTCACTAACTTTTCAGTCTTGCAAAGTATTTTCGAGTGATATCTAATTTTTTTGGTATCTAAAATGAACTGAAGGCTGTTTTATCGGTGGACCAAAACCTAGGGACTGTTATTTACTGACAAAATGTCTCGAAATTTGGACACAATATTCGAAATTATGTTGCTTTTAAAATGATGGTTTTACTTTTTTTTGAAATTTCTGTTGAATAATTGGATTATACTGTTTAACGTTCTATTATCACCAAACTTTTTACGCCCATCACTTGAAAGAGTTTTTTTTTCACCTTTCTGTGTCCAGTAATAATCGAGAAAAGCGTGTTCCAACTTTGAAGAAAATTGTTAAAAAATACTAAAATCTAATAGTGAAACGTATTACTCATCATTGTCGCTTAGTTTCACCGTTATCGCCTTCGTGGCGTCAAATCTCATGAACGTACGGTCAGTTAGTTCGTGTTAAAACTAATTTGAATGGAAAGTAATGCATTTGTTGTCATTAAATTAGCCGTTGGCCGGCGCCACTGAGTAAAGATAGTCTCGCGTAAGCAGTGTAAAAATGTAAGTGATACGCCCATTTCAAATCACAGTGTGCTTGAACTGCTAAAACAGCCTTAATGTATGTTTATACGTGATCATAATTTAAAGTAATATTTGTTTAAAACAAAATGAACAAAAATCAAAAATAAACAGACAGAAATCGTACATGGTAAAAGATTATCTTCTTGTATGAGTTATAACTTAAAAATACCAGTTGAGGATGAGTTTGGCGAATGACGTCAGTTTGGTGAGTAATTCCTCTCTAGTATTTAGCAAATTGTTGAAACTATCAACTCCGAAGAATTATAGAGTTATGATAATCAGAATTTGTATCCCAGTATTCATGAATTTAGGTTACTGGCACAGCAGCCTAAGTCATTAGATAATAACAGTAACATTAATGAAATACTCTACTCCAAAATGTTAAAAGAGTTTATTGTAACTTGTGGTCACATTATCTTGACCTTTATAAATCCTTCCCTTAGATCATCCAAAATTACAGATTTAATAAAAATCAGTACAGTTGTTCCAATACCAAAAGTTAATAATACGTTAAAGCCGATGAATTTAGACCAATTACTATTCGTCCGTCCATTGAGAAATTCTTAGAGTTGTCAGTCTATGATCAAGTCATGGATCACATTGATAAAAACGAAATCTTAATTTAATAAATAATTCAGTCAGGTTTTCGTAAAAAGTATTCCTGTGAGGCTGCACCACAACTTTCACATTTAACTCTGAATTGGACAATGATAATTATATAATGGTAACATTCTTTGATTTAAAAAGAGCTTTTGAAACTATTGATCGTAATATACTTACTTCTCAATAAATTAGAAAGCTAAGGTGTTAAAGGAAATGTTCATGAATGGTTTCAAAATTATATATTGGGTAGAAAGCAACAAGTGAGGATTGATCATATTACTTCTTCTGAAATTAGTGTTAATATTGGGGTACCTCAAGTTAGTGTCCTAGGAAGCTTAAAATAGAATATAAATGCTTTATTGTCACTGAAAATTGTATAATATTATGGACAAAAAGTAAAAAAAAAATAACAATAACAATTAAAATTTACTAAAATTACATACTTAAATCGTCAATATCACAGAATCACAAAATAAAAGATAATAAAGTATACATTCCATTGCAAATTTTTGTTGCTTAAATGTATTGTATTTAAATGGCATAAACTTGTTTTGTTAAATATGATTTCTTTAATTTGTATGCTGATGAAACTATACTTGTATGTTTTGATTCAAACTTAGAGAATGCTTACCTATTTAGAATGAATTCGGCATTACAGTCTGTTAATAAATATTTAAAGAGCAACAAACTAAAGTTAAATATTTTAAAGCCGAAGGCTGTGATAATAACAATTAAATATAAATACTCAAATATTTATTCACAATTTTTGTTGGGAATAAGCCACAATTTTACTTTAAAATTAAGATTATTTAACGTTTCGATTTTCACTTCGGAAATCATTCTCAAAACACAAAACATTAATAAATATTTTGTATTGACGAAACGACAAATACAGTTAATTTTAAAGTAAAATTGTGACTTATTTCCAACAAAAATAGTAAATTGCGTTAAGATGCTACAAAAAATAGCTTTAGAACAATATCAAATACATATTGATAAATACTATTAATCTTCAAATTGACAATGATAAACTAGAAATCATCACAACAATTAAGTTTCAATTGGATAATTTATTATCTTTTAATGAGAATTTTAATTATATATTAAAAAGGGTTTGTAAAAAATTATACTTTTTTTTTAAAGAATATCTATCTAAAACGTTTTCTATTATATTATAATCTATTATAAGTTTTATTGTCGTCTGCAATACATTAAATCAATGCGACTTAGAAACAAAATTTAAACTTTTAACATAATATAAAAATGTCTGGGTGTTTTTGTGTTCAATTTATTAAGTTTATTTTATTTATATACAAAATAAATTCTTTAATTTTTGTCTTTTGCAAAAACATCGACAACACGAGCATTTAAGTCTGCCATTGTGGAAATCAACTCATTTTCTATGCTTAACGTGGCAAGTGAATTTAATATGTTCTGCATTGTATTTCTCAGTAAAGAGTTAAACCTTTTCAATGTAGAAAAATATCGTTTACTTTCGACACTTGCCATTGGAATTGTAAAGATTAATTTTAATAACATGACAGTTTCACTAAAACATTCAGGTCAGGTTTATATTGATAAGAAGTGCTAAGATTGACAACGCACTTCCAGCATTATGAAAATCTTTTCCGCCATAAATATCACACAATTCACTTTTAACTTTTTCTTTCTGAAAAAAGTTATAGTTTCGCGTATCGGTATCAAAACCATCGGTAGGAAAGGTCTTTTTCATATTAGTTGAATTTTTCAGAAAAAAATTTGAAGCCAAAAGATGTTCTGTAAAATGAAACCTGTCTTCGGCCTGATTAATCAGGATATCACACATTTCTTTTGTTTATGCAGAAAATTATACTGACTGATGCGCTTCTTTTTTGGTGACGGTGGACGATCTAAGTTACGAATATTTGAAATGCCTTTGTCAAAACTGTTCAAAATCCGTTTATTTTACCAGCATCCAAAGACCAAGATTAAAATTCTTTAAAAAGATTTCACAGTAGGGCATTATTTGAGCGAAAAATGTTAACAAATAAATGAAATTTGCATTATTTAAATTTCCTAGCAACGCCTCTGTTTGGTTTATAGTGGTAAAATCATTTCCGCTGCTTCTACATATCCCAGCAACGCCTCTGTTTAGTTTATTGTGGTAAAATCATTCCCGCTGCTCTCTAATTTACTCTCTAGACAATGTTTTAGAAGCTCTTTGTTTTCAAAAATTGTTCTTACAGTTCATGTGTTAAAATTTCATGTTGTTGCTGATGCTCTTGGAATCCTTTTTCACTATGTCGTCTAGCATGCTAGTTCTTTTTGCTGATCTGAAAAGTTAAGGCGGAAATGCATGTAAATTGGCAAAAAAGTTGGCTACATTTACATGAACACAAACACTTTACTCCAATATTAAATAGAATTGATATTCATAATAGTGTACATAAAGTGCGTAATGAAAATATTTTCTTATAATATTTTGAACGCCACCTTCCCTTCATGACATTATTTCCGCTTCATCATAACTTTGACCTACTAGCTGATTTACAGAAATATTAAGCAATTCCAACTCTTTTCCAATTTTTGTGACTATGTCACTGCCACTATTTGAAACAGGTTCTAAAAATTTCCAAAAACGTTCGTAGATTTGACCATTCCGCTCATATCTTAAAATAATAACACGTTGCTGATGGGTAGTGACAACAGTAGATTCATCACAGTGATGGATACAAACCGATTCTCTGAAACCTGTTTAATCCTGGCAAACGGTTACAATAGTATCGAATATGTCATTTTGAACTGATTTTGTCGTACCTTTAAAAATACCGTATTATATACCGTTTATATAATTCTCTTTTTAGTTTCATTGAAAATTTTTTGTCACACAATACAGCAATCGCCTTCTTCAATTTCATCCATCCCACCCTAACTATAATGGATTTTTAATTCCGATCCTATGTACTTAAACTTTGTGTTTCACTTTGCTTGATGAAAACTTTATGTTTTCACAATCATTTTATCATCCAAAGGTATCATATTTATTATTCATAGTATTAATTTAGTCTTTAAGTGAATATTCCAAATACTCTGTTATCTGATCCAACTCTTATGAGAATAAATAAGGTATATTATTTTCTCATGAAATTTGTCAGTCTCTCCTACACATGTCCCAGCACTAGTTGTTACTTCCTCATTCATGTCTCTCATAACCTTCACATACTTTCTGGGAACTCATTTCTTAATGAGCGCCCACCACAGAACCATTCGAGGAACTCTATATCCTTTCTCAAGATCAATAGATACTATATGAGCGTTTATTTCTATACTTTTCATTGTGTGACTAATGAGTGTAGTGACTAAAAGTATGTAGTTGCATCCTCTGAGCCCAATATTCTCAAACGAAGAAAAATATCGTGATACCGCTTGATTGAAGCCTGTTACAGCGAGGTTTATGGCACTGCAACATATG